ATTCTGAATTTTGATCAATAAATATTAAATAGAGATGGGTATTTAACATGCTTTTGTCGATTTCTAACTTGCAAAAATCAATAATATGTTATCATTTTGTGGCACAAAAACTAAGCTAAAAATGTTATTATTGTGAATGAAGATCTAAAGGAGAAGAACTCTCATCGTTGTGTCTGAGGAGGAATTTTTTTTTTTGAACTTTAGGGGGGGGGGGGAGTTTCCCCCCACCTGAATATATTGCATCACGGGGGCTAGGCCCCCAGAAGTGTACAGAGAGAGTTTTTGGTTACAAACGGGTCAAGCAGGGGCATAATCCCGTGAGGAGAGACAGGCCTAGTGGGCGAGAGCCCTTAGCCAGGAGTCGACGTGAACCCGGCGGTCTTGTTGCAGGCGAACACGCCACAGATCGGCGTCCTCCCTACAGCATTGCAGGGGCGTGGTCAAGGACGGCGCCTGCCGCTGGAAGACCACAGCGTTGCGATGCTTCCACAGGTGCCAGCAGCATAGCATCACAAACTCCACCCCAGAGTCGACGACGTTGCCTGCCACACCAACCAGAGAGTTCAAGTGGCAAACCGAGGCCCCGCCCGCACATATCCCGACGTTTTGCCAGAAATCTGCCGTGAACGGGCAGACAAACATCAAGTGGTCCGCAGTCTCGAGAGCGACGGGGCACAGAGGGCAGCCGGCCTCGTCCGCAGCGAGAATGCACTTCCGCAGCAGGATGTCTCGCGTGTGTATGCGTCTTTGGACCAGCAGCCAACAAAAGAATTTGACGCGGGACGGCACACGCGTGCTCCAGATCATGGCGGCGTAAGCCGCGTTCACCCCACCAAACCGCAAGAGGGCGTAGATCGAGCTGGAGGACAAAGCCCCTTCACGCGCCCTTGCATGTACAAGCAGACGCTCGTGGGGCCCTCCTGTCGAGGCGCCTCGTCCAACATCCTTTGAACAGCTCGCAGCTCACGCGCGCCCGCGGCCGTGAGCCTGGGAACCAGAAAGCTAGTGAGGCCAAGCTGCCGCACCTGCCAGACCGTGACCTCGTCCTCGACGGCATGCGAGAGGAGAGCGGGAAAGACCGAGGCGAGCAATCCACAGGGGAGCCAGCAGTCCCACCAGAAGGAGCAGCACCTCCCATCCCCCACGTCAACCCTTGTGAGGGATCGGTAGAGGGGTAGCAGCTTGACGACGGAGGCCCGATGCTCGCCCAGCGCCAACTCGCCGCGCGAGAGGAAAGAGTGGCTGGCCGCGCTAGCCCAGACCCACGACGCCCATGTCGACCGTGGCGAGGCGTGTAGCCGGTGTATCATCTTAAGAAGAAGGCACTCGTTCTGGGTGGCCAGGTCGCACACACCCAAGCCACCTTCGGCCTTGGCGCGACACACCTGACGCCACGCGACCAAGCACTGAGCGCTTGATGCCCGTTCAACGACGTTCCAGAGGAACGAGCGCCGGAGACCGTCCAGAGCACGGATCACGGCCGGCGGCAGGAGCAGCGCCGCCATGGCATAGGTAGGCAGGGCGTCGAGGACGGCGTTGATGAGGACGAGCCGCCCGGCGGGCGAGAGAAGGCGGGCAGCCCATCCGGCGAGGTACATGTCCACCTTTGCGATCATGGGCAGGAAGTCAGCGAAGTGCAGTTTCTCCCAGGAGAGGAAGAGCCCCAGGTATGTCTGTGGGAATACACCGGCGGCGCATCCCAGGGCCGCCACCACCTACTCCACGACATCTGCATCGGCATGCATCGGGACGAGGGTGCTTTTGGCAAAGTTGATCACCAGCCCGGTGGCATCCGCGAACTGGTCCAGAATCAGCTTGAGGCGCGCCGCCCCCTGCCCACACGCGCGCATGACAATCAGAGTGTCGTCGGTGTACTGGAGCACCGCCGCCGGTGCGTCTGGCGGGAGGGGGTGGCGAAGCACATCGTCTCGGCGGATGAGGCGTTGGAGGACGTCGGCGACCATGATGAAGAGGTAGGGCGAGACGGGGTCCCCCTGCCGCAGGCCGCAGCCGACCGGAAACCACCTCCCTGGCACGCTGTTGAGGAGGACGGTGGAGCGAGAGGAGGTGAAGAGGGAGTCCATCCAAGCGCACCAGAGCGGCGGGAACCCCCGCACCTCCATGATGGCCCGCAAACTTGCCCAGTTGATGGAGTCGAAAGCTTTGGCGAAGTCGAGCTTCAACACCACCGCCGGGGCGCGCCTCATGTGGCAGCATTGCACCAGCTCCGTGACATACACAAAATTCTCTAAGATGTTGCGCCCTCGCACGAAGCCGGATTGGTCCTCGTCGATCAGGAGGGCGATTTGCCGTTGAAGTCGTGTCGTGAGCCCCCTACAGAGGATCTTGACGTCGCCGTTTTGGAGCAAGACGGGCCGGAAATCAGCCGGGGTCGGCACGCCCGGTTTCTTGGGGAGGAGGGCGATGTATGCTCTGTTGATCCCATCGAGACGCGCAGTCCCGGCGTGGAATTCAGCGAAGAGGCGGTGGATGTCCGGCGACACCGCCGCCCATGCCGCCTGGTAGAAGGCGGGGCCAAGCCCGTCCGGACCCGGCGCGCTGGTGCGATCCAGGGCGTGGACCGCGGCCTTGATCTCGGCGTGGTCGAACGGCGCCACCAGCGCCGCCCCGTCCACCACAGAAGCGTCAACATAGAGTGCCGCGAGATCGAAACGCCAGGTGGGGGCCTGGGCCGGCCCAGCAGAGCCGAGTAGAAGCCCAGCAAGGCGGCGGCCTTGCCTGCATGGTCCGTCACCCGCACCCCATCGACTTCCAGCGAGCCGATGGTGTTGCGGCGCCGGCGATTGGAGGCAGAGGCGTGGAAGAACTGGGTGTTCTCGTCGCCTTCGCGTACCGCCCTACGTTTCCCTTGCTGCCGCCAGTGCGCGCACTGCCGGCGAACCGAAGCAGCAAGGGCAAGCCGCGCGTCGAGGCGGAGGGACGCTTCAGCTGCAGAGAGAGCACGTGTTTCCTCCCAAAAATCGAAAAGATCAATCAAGAAACGGCGGTCATTATCGAAAGTGGGAATGAATTGGTGTTGCTTTTTCCATACCTTGGCGGCAAACCTGAATGCTTTTTTCCAGGCTGCAAGAACTCCCACAGCACCCGAGCCACGGACCGTACCCGACCAGGAGGGGAGAGTGGTAGGGAGAAAAGTTTGATCCAGGAGCCAAGCATTTTCGAAGAAAAACCACGACGGCTTGGGGATTTTAGTCGAAGCAGTGACAAGGAGCGGCACATGATCAGAAATGGTGCGGGGGCGCGAATGGAGGGTAGAGGAGGAAAATCAAATGATGCATATAAATCTTTTTACAGTGGATACAACTAGTCACTAAAAATATATGATAGCTTGTCTAGACTAGAGGGGTGGCACCATTCCTGGAGCATATCATGGAGACATGCAACAATTTCAACTGGTTTGGACGGACTGTAGACTATAGAAAGAAGGCAGATGCGTCCAAAGTTTCAGGTCCACATGGAGCTCAGAGTCTCGGCCATGGCTGCCTATTTTTCCTTTTTTCTCCCCACTTTCCAGGCAAGGAAGAAAGAACCCCTCTGGCTTGGTTTCGCATTGGTCAGAGAAGTCAAAGCGCACACAAAATCCGATCAAATTACAACTTTGCCAAGGAATACTGCCCAGCTGGTTCCATCATTCTCCATGTAGTGATCTATCACTGCAAACGGATTGTCCTTGTCATGTACTCCCTCCGTTTCTAAATATAAGTCTTTATAGAGATCCCATTAGATGAACTACATACGGATCAAAATGAATGAATCTAAACTTAAAATGCATTTATATACATCTATATGTGGCTCATAGTAAAATCTCTACAAAAACTTACATTTACATTTAGGAACGGAGGGAGTAGTAATATGATGCCACCCGGTACGCTGCTGCAAGTTGGTGTGTACCACAAATCCACTGAAGATGTTCTGCAGGAGCATGAGGGGTCTTATTATTCTTATGAATTAATTAATTGATTATGCAGTTTCCCCCTTCCATTATTAGAAAATAACTACAGTGTAACATGGGGGGACCAAACCCAGGTGCTGTGCGAAGGACTAGTAAAAGGCACTGGTTTCTCTTTTTCTGAACAGATCTCAACCGTAAACTTGCACATTTGCAGTCACCATTACGAAGAAGATTCTTTATGCCTGGCAGACCCCACCCCCATTTGCGAGTTTGAAATCGTCCATGCGGCCGTCACTCGGCAGCTTCGTCAACACCTTCTCCCCACCTCTCCTCCAATAATTACTTACGTCGTCACCATCTACGCGAGGTGCTCTTCCGGGCCTGCATTTTTTTTTGTGATGATCGTCGTCACAGTCGAAGCTGTCGGTTGTTCGTGCGTGTGGCCTTTTGTTGGCATGTGTGGTCATGGTTTCTGTGTAGCTGTTTACGTGTCGGCTTCGACGATGAAGGTCTACGGTGAAGTCGGAGTCGTCCGTTCGGAGGTAGCCGGTGATGACGATGACGTTTGCGACTGCTCGGCGGATGTCTCCCTCTTTGTAGCTCCGTGATCCCATGTTGGTGGCCAGGTTGGTTGATGGTACCTATTTTATGTGGGTTGATTGTATCGGTTTTAACCCGGTTTTTCGTTAATTAACTGGGCAATTCTCACTCCTTCTTAATCAATGAAAATGACAAGTCTTTTGCCTCGTTTCAAAGAAAAAACACCTACGCGAGGCCAAACCGGCAACCATTTGATGAAATTTAACAGTTTTAGCGGGTGTTTCTTCGAATTTTATAAAGACTATTTAACCAAACACTCTAAAAATATGCAATTTGTGGCTCCATTTTGAGCCCTCTAAACCTAACAGCTTAACAAAATGATGGAATAAAAGAATGCAACTTCAGAAGATGCACTGTGGAAAAAACAGGATGAATATCCCGCCATATATATGCGTACGCGCATGGACACTTTCCAGTGGAAACTTTCCACCGCTCGCGTCGTGAGAGAGACCGGGGCAAGGGAGGGAGGGAGCTGCAAGGGACATCGATGGCTATGGCGGCGGGCGGGCCCAACTCCGGCGCGAAGGTGGTCAGCCTGCGCCTGCAGTACTACTGCGTGTTCGCGGCGGTGGGCGTGGCGGTCATCGTGCTCTCGCTCACGTTCCTGTCCCCGTCCGCCATGGGCGCCGTCCGCCAGAACCTCGGCACCGTCGTGGCCGTGGCCACGAATTCCAGCAGCGGTGACGGTGCGGTGCGGGTGGTAGGAGGTGGAGAGGCCGTGGCGGCGGTGGCTGCGGCCAAGCCGGAGCCGGAGAAGGAGAAGCGGAAGCAGAAGAAGGCGGAGCCGCCGGTGGTGCTGTTCAATTTCGGCGACTCGAACTCGGACACCGGCGGCGTGGCGGCGGCCGGGGGCATCCACATCATGCCGCCGGAGGGGCGCACCTACTTCCGCCGCCCCACCGGCCGCCTCTCCGACGGTCGCGTCATCATCGACTTCATCTGTGAGTTGCTCAACCACTCCTCCGGCCCGTCAATAATTACCACATCTCCCCAATTGTCAACAAACCGAGTGCTCAATTGCGAATTCCAAATTCCAGATTATAAACCACTATAGCATAGCTGCAAATGAACATGGCTAAATTGCACATGATCGTCTCACGTGAATTTCCTCCGATCGTCGCCTCGCCAGAACCGACCCGTTCCTGTGAAATTCCCGCCGATCCACGGCGCACCGAGCAACCAAAACTCTGTACGTAGCCGGCTCGGTTGGTGGGTGGATGGATGGGTCATGGGTGATCTCGAGTAATCTGGGTCAACAAGCTGGTCATGTCGCCTTCAACGTGGGAGCGGCGGGTGCTGTCAAAATGGTGGTTGAAGCACTAGTCGCGAACATGTGCCACCTAACAATGGCTGCTTTCCCTCTCATTTTTGTCCTTCTCATGGCCAATCGAGTGAGAGAAACCTATGGTTTGGAAGTTTGACCTGCTGGTCGTGGTTGAGTATGGCTGGCCTGTAGATGCCAACTGCTGGATTAAGAAAGAGCAATCTCCTTGCGTGTTTGCATGATCCAAGTTTTTGACAGGACCTGTTCTTTTGGCTTGGTAGTCTGCCTCTCTGTGTGTGGAGACAAAGAGGTTGGCAGGCCAAACAGGTGAAGAACAAAGGGTGAAGCTATGCAACGTAGGCCGGCTTTGTTCGGCACAAAAGGTGTAAAGCTAGCTAGCTCGGTAAAACAAATTAGGCAGGGGCCAACACATGGCTTTATGGTTAGTAGTACTAGTATATTGTACATTCTGAAAGGGGATTGGGCTAGATAGACAAATCATGCACGTGAATACATGATATAGTAATAAGTTTGAAATGACCGCTCCAATCACAACCATGCAGCTGATGGTTGCTTCTGTGGGTTCATTTTTACGCACCCATGTGTTGTCTGTTGTGTTGGTTGCTGGGTCAACACAGTGACATTGCGATTAACGCCGTGATCGGAACATGATCAGTTAGGGTTTGAACCCACCACCCACATCCCACATGGTTTTCTTGTCCCATTTTGTCTTCTTTAATGGTTACTCTATATGCCATGACGATGCCAGCGTGCAAGGAATCGTTCAATCGCGCATAATTCATGTTGCGTTATGTTTGCTCGGTCAAACTTTATCCACCTGTAGTGGAAATGGGGTGGGAAGTTTAAGAATCATTTCCGCCCACTTATAAGTTCAGATTTAGCCGCCTTAATTATTTTATAATCTTTACTATTAGGGGCGATTTGCATGCCATGATCTTCTCAAGAATGTGTCACCATGTGATAGTTCATAGCTCTCACACTGTGTGCACATGGGCACCAGTCACATCCATGATGCTATTGCTCCCTGGGGTGAGAAGAGATGCATGATTTGTGATCTGTGCATGCCCTCCCAAGTTTTTAGCGAATATATCAGAATGCCATTTATATTCCAGTAAATAATAAGCGGCTATATTAAATCAGAATAGAAAGCATATGTACTTTCAGTATGTTTGTCATGAAAGCTTCAACATCCAATTGAGGATATCAAGTACAATAATAGGAGTTATCACATAGCCTGGATTAGATGGTTCAGATGCACATGGTGTGGGGCACCTGTGAGTGCCTATTGTTCCCTTGTGATAAGAGCTAAATTACTGTAGCATATGGATGTGACAGATACATTCGGTTGTGTGCAGGGACAAGGTTTGATTAACAAGCTGTCCAACATATATTTATGTGATGCGAGTGATAGAACGTTAAGACACAGAATTTACTACTGGCTGTGTTCGAAAGTTGGAAATGAAGTGAGTGATGGACTTGTACTCGATCCTTGATATCATCTTTTCAGGCGCGAGTCTGAAGACGCATGAGCTGAACCCATACCTGAAGGCAGTGGGCTCCGACTACAGCAACGGCGTCAACTTCGCCATGGCCGGCTCCACGGTGTCCCACGGCGTCTCCCCCTACTCCCTCAATGTCCAGGTCGACCAGTTCGTCTACTTCAAGCGCAGATCCCTGGAGCTCATCGAGCTAGGTTCGCCCCCCGTTGTTGTTGTTGTTGTTGTTATCTCGTAGGCTCTCTGACATCACATCTCACAGTTGCAAGCAGCAAGAGAATGAAGGCATGTGTCTGAACTCTGAAGATGACCAACGTCGTTGCGTTCTTGCAGGACTGAAGGGCCCGGTGAACAAGGAGGGCTTCGAGAACGCGCTCTACATGATGGACGTCGGCCACAACGACGTCGCCGGCGTGATGCACACGCCGTCCGATCAGTGGGACAAGAAGTTCAGGCAGATTGTCGGCGAGATCGGCGACGCGATCCGGGTAAATTACGATCTATCTGAAGATGTTCTTACAAGCAAGTTTGTTACGCTGACAGAAGTTATTGTTGGCGACTCTGGTTTTCAGATCCTGTATGACAATGGCGCGAGGAAGTTCTGGATCCATGGCACGGGCGCCCTCGGCTGCCTGCCGGCGCTGGTGGTGCAGGAGAAGGGGGGCGAGCACGACGCGCACGGCTGCCTCGCCAGCCACAACCGGGCGGCGCAGGCCTTCAACAAGAAGCTCAGTGACCTCTGCGACGAGGTGCGGCTGCGCCTCAAGGACGCCACCGTCGTCTACACCGACATGTTCGCCATCAAGTACGGCTTCGTCGCCAACCACACCAAATATGGTATGAACAATGTGCAGTGAAATACTCCATCTTCCCTGAATTCAGAACATTTGTTCGTTGGTGACTTCGAAACTGTCAGTCATAACAAGTTCAGTCTCTGAAATCGCCTGGGAATTCTTATCATCCTCTTCTGGTTCTTCTCTTCAGGGATCGAGTGGCCATTGATGGTGTGCTGCGGAAACGGCGGCCCGCCTTACAACTTCATGCCGGGGAAGTTCGGCTGCGGCGATCTCTGCGGGCCAGAGGAGAAGGTGCTGAGCTGGGACGGCGTGCATTTCACCGATTTCGGCAGCGGCCTCGCCGCCAAGCATGCCATGAGCGGCGAGTACTCCAAGCCCAGAGTAAAGCTGGCGAGCTTGCTCAATGGTGGCTCCAAGAAACCATCATCGGTGTCTTGATGCTCATTGATCAACGATTGAACCACGAACTTACTTTGGGCGGGTCTTACTTTAAAAAGAAAGGTTGCTTGACAAAAAGGAAAAAAAAACTTCGGATGGATCATGGATGAGTGGATAATGGTGAAGATCAATCCATACGATGGCCACGATGGATGATGTGAATGTTGTAAAAGTTGCAGCTGATTGTTGGCTCCTTGTACACAATAGGCAATAGCTCCCTCGGCTACAAGTAAAAAGTTTTTTTTCACTTTTGGAGTATAATGATTTTGCTTTGTTGGTGTGTGTGTATAGACAATGTACGTGGCGGCTGCGATTTCACAGAGCTCATAAAAAATGGTGAATCCTAGATTTATTTGATCTGTAAAAGAAGGTAATACAAAAACTTCCAACCATAGGCACTATTTTATACGAAATATTGTACTTCTAGCACAAAATTTTCGTTTTGGATTGTTTGATTTGTAAAATAGCAACCCATATGAATTTTTTTGTAAGCATTGCTTTCAAACTTTCATAGGATGATCTCGACTCCAGGATTCGTATATTTTCCTGGTGTAGTCAGACATTCAAACATCACCACCATCGGAAGAACGACTCTTGTCAAGTTCGTGATCACCTCCCAAATGGTCTATCCCGCCACACCGCTAGTTATTCTGCCAACCATCTTGCTCAAAGTCAACAAACTTCAGAGAGCTTTCCTTTGGTCCGGTTCGGACAAGACGACGGGAGCGAAATGCAAGGTGAACTGGGAGATTGTTTGCCGGCCACTTCAATATGGGGGACTTGGGGTCCTTAACACCAACAAGTTTACACGTGCCCTCCGGTTGCGATGGCCATGGTATGAATGGAAGGAGCCCACCAAGATGTGGGTGGGGATGGGAAACCCATGCGACGAGGAGGACTTAAATTTTTTCTATGCATCCACCACTATCACCATTGGCAACGGTGCGAAGACCCCCTTTTGGGACTCACCTTGGCTCCTTGGGCGCAAGCCAAAAGACATTGCCCCGCTCATTCACGAAGCGTCAAAGAGAAAGAATTGGAAGGTGCGGGAGGCCCTCTAACACAATGCATGGATACACAAGATCAAACCCCCCACCAACATCTCCGCGGAGCACATAACGCAGTTCTTCACTCTTTGGGCGCTTTTGCATGAGGTCCAACTTGATGAACTCACCGAGGATGACATTGTATGGAAGCATACGGCTAGTGGGACCTACTCGGCGGCATCTGCTTACAAGGTGCAATTCCTAGGGATGGTTCTCACACCTTTGGATAAAATGGTTTGGAAGGCTTGGGCCCCCCCAAAAGTCAAGTTCTTCGCTTGGCTGGCGTTGCAAGACAGAATTTGGACCGCCGATAGATTGGCCAAACGCGGGTGGCCCAACTGTGATCTCTGCCCTCTTTGCAAGAGAGTGCAGGAATGTGGGTCTCATCTCTTCTTCAAATCCCGCTACACATGAAGGCTTTGGTCCTTGATCATTGACAAATACCACATTCACGGTCTTGACACCAATAGTTGGCCCCTCTTCGACTCGGTTGAGGCTTGGTGGGCAAGTACTTGCGACAATGGCACGCCAAACCGCCAAGCCAAGGCGTCCCTCACCATGCTTGTTACGTGGACCGTCTGGAATGAGCGAAACGCAAGGGTCAAAAATTAGGGTCTCTTATTTTGCGAGAGTGATCTCATGCCGTGTATTGAGTGACTTGTAACAAACTCTTTTCTCTCTTAATTAATGGATGAGGCAAAGCTTTTGCCTCCGTTTCAAAAAAAAAGTCACACTTTGGTGCAATCTCAATCTCATAGAGCTCAAGAAGACATAGCAGTGCAATTTTGTATTTATACTATTTTTAACACAATACAATCGCACACATACACATTATTCCTATGAGCACCTTCGAGATATTGAGCCGGTCCACCATCTTAAGACTGACGAAGTCGTCACAGGCATCTCGTAGTCGATAGAGACGTCTTCTCCTACTAAATGAACATCGCTGGATAGCCTAAAATTACAACAACAACAACAAAGCCTTTAGTCCCAAGCAAGTTGGGGTAGGCTAGAGGTGAAACTCATAAGATCTCGCAACCAACTCATGGCTCTGGCACATGGATCGTTGGGGAACATTGCAGAAAATTAAAAATTTTCCTACGGTTTCACCAAGATCCATCTATGAGTTCATCTAAGCAACGAGTCTAGGGAGAGAGTTTGCATCTACATACCACTTGTAGATCGCGTGCGGAAGCTTGCAAGGTGATGATGTAGTCGTACTCGACGTGATCCAAATCACCGATGACCAGCGCCGAACGGACGGCACCTCCGCGTTCAACACACGTACGGGACGGGAGACGTCTCCTCCTTCTTGATCCAGCAAGGGGGAAGGAGAGGTTGATGAAGATCCAGCAGCACGACGGCGTGGTGGTGGATGCAGGGCGTCACAGCAGCAGGGCTTCGCCGAGACTACGAGGGAGAGACGTAACGGGGGGAAGGTGGAGGCGCCAGGGGCTGGTGTATGAAGTCCCTCCTCTCCCCCACTATATATAGGGGTGCCAGGGGGGCGCCGGCCCTAGTAGATGAGATCTACTAGGGGGGGCGGCGGCCTAGGGGAGGTTTCCCTCCCCCCCAAGGCACCTAGGGGTGCCTTCCACCACTAGGACTCCTCCTAGGGGGAAACCCTAGGCGCATGGGCCTATAGGGGCTGGTGCCCTTGGCCCATGATGGCCAAGGCGCACCCCCTACAGCCCATGTGGCCCCCCGGGACAGGTGGCCCCACCCGGTGGACCCCCGGGACCCTTCCGGTGGTCCCGGTACAATACCGATAACCCCGAAACTTGTCCCGATGCCCGAAATAGCACTTCCTATATATAATTCTTTACCTCCGGACCATTCCGGAACTCCTCGTGACGTCCGGGATCTCATCCAGGACTCCGAACAAAATTCGGGTTTCTGCATATACATATCTTCATAACCCTAGCGTCACCGAACCTTAAGTGTGTAGACCCTACGGGTTCGGGAGACATGCAGACATGACCGAGACGCTCTTAGTCAATAACCATCAGCGGGATCTGGATACCCATGATGGCTCCCACATGCTCCTCGATGTTGTCATCGGATGAACCACTATGTCGAGGATTCGATCAAACCCTGTATGCAATTCCCTTTGTCAATCGATACGTTACTTGCCCGAGACTCGATCGTCGGTATCCCAATACCTTGTTCAGTCTCATTACCGGCAAGTCACTTTACTCGTACCGTAATGCATGATCCCGTGTCCAACACCTTGGTCACATTGAGCTCAATATGATGATGCATTACCGAGTGGGCCCAGAGATACCTCTCCGTCATACGGAGTGATAAATCCCAGTCTCGATCCGTGTCAACCCAACAGCTACTTTCAGAGATACCTGTAATGCACCTTTATAGTCACCCAGTTACGTTGTGACGTTTGATACACCCAAGGCACTCTTACGGTATCCGGGAGTTACACGATCTCATGGTCGAAGGAAGAGATACTTGACACTTGCAAAGCTCTAGCAAAACGAACTACACGATCTTTTATGCTATGCTTAGGATTGGGTCTTGTCCATCACATCATTCTCCTAATGATGTGATCCCATTATCAACGACATCCAATGTCCATAGTCAGGAAACCATGACTATCTGTTGATCACAACAAGCTGGTCAACTAGAGGCTTACCAGGGACATAGTGTGGTCTAAGTATTCACACGTGTATTACGATTTCCGGATAATACAGTTATAGCATGAATAAAAGACAATTATCATGAACAATGAAATATAATAATACTTTTATTATTGCCTCTAGGGCATATTTCCAACAGTCTCCCACTTGCACTAGAGTCACTAATCTAGTTACATTGTGATGAATCGAACACCCATAGAGTTCTGGTGTTGATCATGTTTTGCACGCGAGAGAGGTTTAGTCAGCGGATCTGCGACATTCAGATCCGTGTGCACTTTGCAAATCTCTATGTCTCCATCTTGAACATTTTCACGGATGCAGTTGAAACGACGCTTGATGTGCCTGGTCTTCTTGTGAAACCTGGGCTCCTTTGCGAGGGCAATAGCTCCAGTGTTGTCACAGAAGAGTTTGATTGGCCCCGACGCATTGGGTATGACTCCTAGGTCGGTGATGAACTCCTTCACCCAAATCGCTTCATGTGCTGCCTCCGAGGCTGCCATGTACTTCGCTTCACACGTAGATCCCGCCACGACGCTCTGCTTGCAGCTGCACCAGCTTACTGCTCCACCATTCAACATATACACGTATCCGGTTTGTGACTTAGAGTCATCCAGATCTGAGTTGAAGCTAGCGTCGACGTAACCCTTTACGACGAGCTCTTCGTCTCCTCCATAAACGAGAAACATGTCCTTTGTCCTTTTCAGGTACTTCAGGATATTCTTGACCGCTGTCTAGTGTTCCTTGCCGGGATTACTTTGGTATCTTGCTACCAAACTTACGGCAAGGTTTACATCGGGTCTGGTACACAGCATGGCATACATAATAGATCCTATGGCTGAAGCATAGGGGATGACACTCATCTCTTCTTTATCTTTTGCCGTGGTCGGTGACTGAGCTGAGCTCAGTCTCATACCTTGTAGCATAGGCAAGAACCCCTTCTTGGACTGATCCATTCTGAATCTCTTCAAAATCTTATCAAGGTATGTGCTTTGTGAAAGACCTATGAGGCGTCTCGATCTATCTCTATAGATCTTGATGCCTAATATATAAGCAGCTTCTCCAAGGTCCTTCATTGAAAAACACTTATTCAAGTAGGCCTTAATGTTGTCCAGAAATTCTATATTATTTCCCATCAGGAGTATGTCATCTACATATAATATGAGAAATGCTACAGAGCTCCCACTCACTTTCTTGTAAACGCAGGCTTCTCCATAAGTCTGCATAAACCCAAACGCTTTGATCATCTCATCAAAGCGAATGTTCCAACTCCGAGATGCTTGCACCAGTCCATAAATGGATCGCT